TCAGGGTCATTGGAAGAGTACAATGTCACCTCTGGTCTATGGTGTGAGCCCTCATATAGCATAGTTTGTAGGATATTGCAATCACCTCCTAAAAGCCTTCCAGGTAAAAGCTACTCAATGTTGAGCAGCGTGGTGTCGTGCAACTTGCTCATGCAGCGAAACGTCGATGTCTTTATATGATCTCTACACAAGCTTACGTTGCAAGCGTTGGCGAGTATCGACCAATCATGAGCTTTAAGTGACGTCTTACTGGAATTGCCATTGTAATTTGTTGCCATTTTCCCGAGTTTGTCACCAAGTAGCTCGCAAAAGCTTCCATTTCACCGATAATATCTTGTCAATCGTTAGCTTTTCACCCCTGGTGTGAACTGGAACCATCATCCGCCTGCTTCCCAAATCCGAGTCAGCTGATTTTAAGTTTCCAACTGCTACTCTCCAAATTCCTGTCGTGTTTTGGGACTTGTTATGCATCCTAGGCGCTTCAATAAAGGTTCTTGACCGCTGCAACCAGCTATATTGCAGTTACCACTCATGAACGCTGCTGCGACCTTTTGCACTTCCGTACGAAAGGGATATTCTAAAATACCAGCCACAGCAACACTATTCGGGCTTATTGCCCGCGGCAGCGGGCTTTTTCAACAGCTTACCCCGATCAGTCCTATGGCCACGACCTTTGCAATTGCTGTTTTGCTCTCTTCCTATGCAGATTCTTTTGTATCCATCTACGCAAATAAAAGCATGGTACTGTATCGTAAGGTATTGTCATCAGATTTTCACTTTGCATGATTTGTTGAATGATCTGCAAAGGGCAGCAATGATGAATGCTGTTGTTACCGTGGCTCAGCTTTTCAGCACGCACCGAATGAATGGACGGCAGATGAATGCAATTTCGCTGTCAGCGATCACAGCACGTGCGCTTTCCCATGTTTTACTTGAAATACGCGGCGGCGGCGACAGGGCGGCCGAACGGTGCCATTTTGACGTCACGAAAAAAAGAAATCGCAACTTTGATGTAAAACCCTTTAGTTAACCTTGACATTCGAGCAGAAGAGTGTACAGAACAATTTTTAAAATGGGTAGCAAATGCTGGCAGTGAACCGGCACGCGAGGTGATGTAAATTTCGCCAGGAATCTGGCGACAGTTCCGACGAAAGCGTGTTGCACTTGGCATCATTCTCCCGAATGCCGGCATTCCGGGTTTGCACGACGATTACCGCCGCAACCGTGCATCGCACAGTTTCGTGTTAGCCACATGAGCTTCAGGAGGCACACTGGTCGACGCTTTGAACTTAGATGCACGCTTCCGCCGGCTCTTGTTACCGAGTTGTAGCTTAAAGCGTGAAAAGCGGCTAAAAACAGGGAAATTTGTCTTTGCCGCAGCTGTGCACGTGGCACGTGACACGTGCAGCGTAGCACGTGACATCACGTGATGCGCCGTTCAATTCTCTGTCTAAGCGTGTTGATTGCGCCTCGCTCCGACCCGCGGTTGCCGAGATACGGCCACGGTTTCGATCGCCCGCTCGGCGGCTTCGGCGCCGGCGGTTCTTTCGTGCCGCCCATGCAAAACCAGTGGGCTAAAAATGCAATTTGTAACGTGTGCCACGCGCCACCCGCTGACCACATCAGCACGACACTCGCCGTGGCACGTCGTCACGTGCGCAAGGGCACGGTATCAAACTTACACTTTCAAGTGACCTGCCGGTTGACCTGCCCACGGGTCCACGCAAAAGGACGACAAACGCGCCCACATCCTCTGAGCTGTGGCTCAGAGGATTTCGCACACTGTCCGGGTGAATTGCTGACACAGGGGGGCTGGATGACATGTGGAGCACGACCAGGTGAAGTGCTGACACAGGGGGCTGGATGACATGTGGAGCACGACCAGGTGAAGTGCTGACACAGGGGGCTGGATGACATGTGGAGCACGACCAGGTGAAGTGCTGACACAGGGGGCTGGATGACATGTGGAGCACGACCAGGTGAAGTGCTGACACAGGGGGCTGGATGACATGTGGAGCACGACCAGGTGAAGTGCTGACACAGGGGAGCTGGATGACATGTGGAGCACGACCAGGTGAAGTGCTGACGGGAGCTGGATGACATGTGGCACGACCAGAAGTGCTGACGGGCTGGATGACATGTGAGCACGACCAGGTAGCTGACGGAGCTGGATGACATGTGAAGCACGACCAGGTGGAGTGCTGAAGCGAGGGAGATGATGAAACTGGGGTACGTAACGTAAACACCAGATGAGCCGCTGCTGCC